AGAGACAGACAGTCTATGAGAGACACAGAGAGACAGACACAGAGAGACAGACAGTCTATGAGAGACACAGACAGTCTATGAGAGAGACAGAGACAGACACAGAGACAGACAGTCTATGAGAGACACAGAGAGACAGACACAGAGAGACAGACAGTCTATGACAGACACAGAGAGACAGACAGTCTATGAGAGACACAGAGAGACAGACAGTCTATGAGAGACGCAGAGAGACAGTCTATGAGACACAGAGAGACAGACACACAGAGAGACAGGCAGTCTATGAGAGAGACAGACAGTCTATGAGAGACGCAGAGAGACAGACAGTCTATGAGAGACACAGAGACAGACACACAGAGAGACAGACTGTCTATGAGAGACGCAGAGAGACAGACAGTCTATGAGAGACACAGAGAGACAGACAGTCTATGAGAGACACAGAGAGACAGACAGTCTATGAGAGACACAGAGAGACAGACACGTCTGCTATATGTATTATCTCCACAAACAGTCATTGAATAAACTCAGACACAGCCTGAGATCAGCCTGCTGTCTATGTGCTGCATTCAGAATATGATGAATTATAGAAATACTGCTGCTTTACTGGACAAAAGTTCACCCTAAAAATACATTATAAGAACTTTTCTGAACCAGATGGAGCTGCTCTTTCATTCGGGGATAATTTAAGAACCAAATATCCATAAATGATCCCATTTTATGATTGTGACACACAGATTAGTCGGATCAAGCCATAAACTCTAACGGTTAACGACGTTAAACTACATCCGGGTAACTTGTCACAGAGCTCCATTCAGAAACGGGTGAATTATATAAATATTCCTACTTACTGGACGTAAAATATCCCTAAATATAACTTATTAGAACTTTTCTGAACCAGAAGGAGCTTCTCTTTAATTCGGCAAACACTGAAGAACAAAATATTTGAAAACAATTAAACTTTAGACGATTTCCTGAATAAAACTCACCAACTGTCAGTAACGGCTAACGCTAAGCTACAGCCGGGTAACTTGACTCTTGCTACAGAGCTCCATTTAGAAACGGGTGAATTATATAAATACTGATGCTTATCAGGGCTGCCAACATTTGAGTCCAGCTTGGAGTGAGATTTTTTTGTGTTCAGTGTTACAAATGTATTGAACATGTACAAACTAGGGTTTCCCATTAATGTACCGGGCGCTACAGTGGAACACGCACATACACAGTGTACCCGCGACATCAAGTGCTATTTTATAAGTGGGGGGGGGGGGGGGGTCCTCACCTCCTGCGGTCCATGTACGCATTTTGCGCTGTCCGGAGCTGACAGGTCCATGGAGCCTGCCTGCAGGCGCTAATCTCAGGACACTTCCACTCTTCAGTACATTGCCACTTTCCGAGCAAGAAATGCACGCAAAATACAAGCCTTTATATTATTAAGGTACAGTGCCACTTTCCGAACCATTAATGAATGCTTGTGTACATAAAAACGGCAGGCAAAACCGTTTTAAATGTGTGTTTCCTGTATGGCAAATACAGCTGCTTTATTTATGTCTTATAAGTTGTTGTGAGTGTGGGAGGAAGCAGCTACAGGTTAGCTTAGCCCTAATCGATCAGTGCACTACGAAGCCAGTGCTAGACAGTGAACTGTCAACGGGGGAGCCCCGCCGGTCATTATCGGCCGATATTCACTCTTATAGTTTGATCGGTGCTCTCTATAAAGGCCAATCAGGAGAGCTGGATCTGATCGATATGGACATAAACGCGAGTGAAGTTTTAGCGAGCTGCATGAGAACATGGCATGCATGCCCCCGGGAAGATTTTTTTTAAATATTGAAGTTAAATTCATCAACCTGGTGCACTTTGAGAGCAAAATGAATTTATGGATACATCTCTCAACACCCATATGAAACAGAACTGTAAACAGATTTTCTTTTTCTTTATGGATATTTTACAAATCACTCACCTTTTAAACTGTATTCTTGTTTTACTGTCATATAGTATTTCATACCTGTTTTTCATTTATTCTCATAAATGGTGACCAAAACGTTTGAGACCCACTGAGATAACTAGACTAAAGTTAAACACTCAGAGACTCCCTTACCTCACTGAGCTGTAGTTATCTCTCTCAGTCTGACAGGACAGAGCTCTCCTCTCCTTGTTTTAGAAACAGCTTCTAATATCTGTTAGCGCAGTTAGCTAACCAGATGCTAACAACAACAATGCAAATACTGAGTTTGGTAGAAATATACTGTATAATAGTAAAGTTATTCAAGATAATGCCATATTTATTGAAGATTTTACATTATAAATATTCCCCAAAATTATTCAAAAGCATATTCTTCCAAACTCCTTGCTATAGTATGACCACCAGGAGACTATTGATGTGTGTAGTGAGTTTGGTAGTAATATACTGTATAATAGTGAATATTATTGTATTCTCTTTTTTCGGAGTTGCACTTTGCAGACGGTCCCTGCGCACTCGTTTCTTCTCCGGCTGCGGATAGAGACCAATGTTATGTGCCCAGCTCGGAGGACGGCGCGTATTGGCTTTTTTTGATCAAAATGTGATTGTAGTTCGTTGTCCTTACGACGGTACTTAGGAGACGTAATTTGTGTCTGAATAACGTTTTGTTCATGAGTTATTGATCCGTGAAATCCGAATCTCCCAATATCGTTCCAACTTTACTGAACTAAGCCAGAAGACCGTCTCATTTCGTAGACCGCTCGGTTTGCTGTTCCTTCACTTTATTTTTATATTTATATACATTTATTTTGGACGAAAACTTAGCGTGAGGAAAGGCATGTGTGGCGTGAGTGCGTGAGATTCGGGTTGATTGCGTGACTCTCACGCTCAATGCGTGAGTGTTGGCAGACCTGTGCTTAATGGTCGGGAAATATCCCTAAATATAACTTATAAGGAGCTTGCCTGGAATTCGGCCAACAGTTTAGAACAGAATATCTGAAAACAATCATAGTTTGCACGATTTTCTGACGGGAAATCACAGAATATCAGTAACAGCTAACGCTAAACTACATCCGGGTAACTTGACCCTTTCTTACAGAGCTCCATTCAGAACCGGGTGAATTATATAAATATTCCTGTTTACTGGACGTAAAATATCCCTAACTATAACTTATAATGCATTTTCTGAACCAGAAGGAGCTGCTCTTAAATTCGGCAATTAGTGAAGGACAAAAGGTCTGAAAATGATCGCAGTTTATACGATTTCCTGACGAAAAATCACTAACTTTCAGTAACGGTTAACGGTAAGTTACATCCGGGCACCTTACGTTAAAATGTAGTATTTCAGACGGAGGTTTGGTGGAGGAAACAGAAAACTGTTTCCTTTTCACAGATTTAAGGACAATAAATTACTTTAAAATACAGCCGAAAACAGCAGCATTACACCTGCCTGTCATCCGGACTGTCACCTGATAATTTAACAACAGGACAAGACAAATCACGGAGGTAAAGAGTTTAAATAAATGTTTTCCTTTAAAAGAAAAAAACTAGTTTTAACTTTCTCCTTTCGAGATCGGTTTAAGGGGAGAGTCTGAGAGAATATAAACGTGTTTATATGATGTTTTATAGACATCCTTTCTGATCAGAAGTGGATACAATAACGAGTTAAAGTGGAGTTTAACCGCTGAAACAGGGTTTGAGTCCTCCTTCAGGCTCCAATACGACAAACGGGTTTAATATCCACATCTGACGACAGAAGAGGAAGAAAAGTCCACATTTATCTGGTTCTGTTCTAGTTTGAATGAAAAACAGAAGCATTTTGTTGTCGTTTTTAGGAGATAATGAGTTTAACGCTGAGTTTTGAACGGAGATCGAGAGTGACACTTCACAAAGTGACCAGCAGGTGTCAGTCTGAGACCAGAGAGTTCACTACATGCAGAGAAACACACAACATACTACACTACATGCAGAGAAACACATAACATGCTACACTACATGCAGAGAAACACACAACATACTACACTACATGCAGAGAAACACACAACATACTACACAACATGCAGGGAAACACACAACATACTACACAACATGCAGGGAAACACACAACATGCAGGGAAACTCACAACATGTAGAGAAACACACATCATACTACACAACATGCAGAGAAACACACATCATACTACACAACATGCAGAGAAACACACATCATGCAGAGAAACACACATCATACTACACAACATGCAGATAAACACACATCATACTACACAACATGCAGAGAAACACACATCATACTACACAACATGCAGAGAAACACACATCATACTACACAACATGCAGAGAAACACACATCATACTACACAACATGCAGAGAAACACACATCATACTACACTACATGCAGAGAAACACATCATACTACACAACATGTAGAGAAACACACATCATACTACACTACATGTAGAGAAACACACATCATGCTACACTACATGCAGAGAAACACACATCATGCTACACTACATGCAGAGAAACACACATCATGCTACACTACATGCAGAGAAACACACAACATACTACACTACATGCAGAGAAACACACATACTACACAACATGCAGAGAAACACACATCATACTACACAACATGCAGAGAAACACACATCATACTACACAACATGCTACACAACATGCAGAGAAACACACAACATGCAGAGAAACACACATCATACTACACAACATGCAGGGAAACACACAACATGCTACACAACATGCAGAGAAACACACAACATGCAGAGAAACACACAACATGCTACACTACATGCAGAGAAACACACAACATGCTACACAACATGCAGAGAAACACACAACATGCTACACTACATGCAGAGAAACACACAACATGCAGAGAAACACACATCATACTACACAACATGCAGGGAAACACACAACATGCTACACAACATGTAATTGTTATATCCATGAACATATTAACCACTAACTGAAACACTGAGGTATATATTAAAAACAATAAATAAAAACTAATATTGATCTGAAAGCTACTTCCTGTTTTGCTTCATGACGTTGGCCTGTGCGTCGTGACGTCACCGCGCTTCCCGTCTCCACCCGTACTCAGCAGCCATGATGGTGGGTTCTTCTCCTGTTGTTTCCTCTGTTGTTCTGTCTGTTATCAGCTGTTATCCGCCCGGTACCGGAGCCCCGGTGCTGTGTCTGTGAGTCTGTGTGTGTGTCTGTGTGTCTGTGTCTGTGTGTAAACAGCCTCTCTTTCTGTCTCTCTGCAGCAGGAAGGGCTGGACGACGGACCCGACTTTCTCTCCGAGGAGGACCGAGGGGTGAGCGACACACCTGGATACACCTGCCTGTTACCTGTCTGTTTACCTGTATGTCTGTAAACATGTCTGTCTGTATACCTGTCTGTCTGTCAACCTGTCTGAACACCTCGCTGGTATACCTGTGTCTGTGCTGAAGACGCTACCTAGCTTTAGCTCCTGTTTGGTAGCCAGGTTAGCTCCCCCCTACTAGCAATAGCTCCATGCTAACAGCAGCTCCAGGCTGTGGGTCAGTCAGCTGTCATTAAGCCCGTTAAACTGACCCAGAATCCGGACTCAGAGCCGGGCTGCTGCGGGCCGTTAGCTCCGCGGCTAGCTGAGCTAACAGGGGCTAACGGTCAGTTTCAGGTCATTACTGTGTTGTTCATCAGGGAGTCACCACACACACACACACACACACACACACACACACACACACAGATGTATCTCAGTTAAAAACCTTAAATACAGAAATACATGTTCTTGATTTACCCTACAATATAAGGCCTGAGGGAGAGACCTCATTTACTACAAGTTAAAAAAACAACAACAGAGCCTAAACTGTAAATTAATCTAAACCAAGACATAAAAAGGTTATTAAAATACCCTGACAGTCTCCTCTCTGGGACGTCAGCAGGTATTGATTATTGACTTCACAACAGACAGGTTTTATGAGACTCGTGTTGCATTATGGGATGTGTGGTTTTTCTAGCCGCGGGCGGTGAACGTGGATCTGCAGACGGACGCCACGCTGCAGGTGGACATCTCCGACGCCCTGAGTGAGAGAGACAAGGTCAAGTTCACCGTGCACACCAAGGTGAGAGAGAGTGAGTGAGTGAGTGAGTGAGTGTGTGTGTGTGTGTGTGTGTGTGTGGACATGGTGGTCCTCGGTGTGACGCTGTTTACCTGCTGAACCTCATTAAAGCTTCACATTAGGGACTTGTGATGCTAGTCTTAACTATATATGATATACTGCATATGATTCTCTTTAGCTGCTGAATGTAAACAGAGACGTGGGATGCTTGTCCTGTTATTGTTGGAGTTACGGCAAACATCTCTATATATTGAGCAGTAAACCCAGTCCGTGTCATATTACCAACCTGACTGTTAAAGGTCCCATGTCATTTTCCAAACTCACATTGGTTTCTCATACAGCATCTCTGTATAGCATGTGTATTCACTCTCTGTCCTACACGGCTTGTTGGAGCTCCTGCCCCCCCCCCCCCTGTGAGCCCACTGTGCTCTGATTGGTCGGGACGTTGCGAGGCTCGTTGCTGCTCGCCGCTGCTGCGAACTGCTGCGAGGAGCGGTCGGGTTTCCGGGTCGGCGATACAGCGAGAAGAAGCGAAACTCAAACTGAGCACACACAAACACTCACAGCCGAAGTAAAAACAATAATGGCGCATTTCCACTACAGCGCGGAGCTCGCTTTAAGCGTGCCGAGCCGTGCGGGGCCCGTTTTTGGTTGCGTTTCCACTTGGCGTAGTACCGGCTAGCGGGTCCTAATTCACAGTTTTTCTGGCCCCATAAAATCGTGGTTCTTTCCGGGCCAACAACCAGGCTGAGTCGGGCTGAGTATGCTAAACTAGAGAGAGAATCGCTGGCAAGGGGGCTACAACTACAACAAGATGGACATATTTGACCGTGATTTAATTGTAATACACGTTTCAAAATGATGCCGAAGTAACAACATACTGATACCGGTTAGTAAAAACCATGAATTAATGCTTTGACAAGTCTGCAGACAGACGGCAGGCGAAAAACCTTTTAAAATGCGTGTTTTCTAAATGGAGATCAGCTAAGCTAACGCAGTATCTGCTCCGACCGTCCACACTCATAACAACGGCCTATACAGACATAAATAAAGCAGCGACTGTATTCGCCATGACACAGACAGTCTGTGGTTTGTACTTGTTTAACTTTTGTCTAGTTTCTGAACATATATGAGGAGCTGTGAGCTCTGAGTGCTAACAGCTAACGGCTGTGTTGTTTTTCTGGGGTTCTCATTGAAGATCACGTCACGGCTCCGCCTACACTGCGTTACTATAGATACTACCCCAGTTCCTAAACTGTAATGGAAATGCGCCATAAAGTGAGCCAGTCCTAACGAGGCCTAGCCATACCGAGCGAGGCCGAGTGAGGCCGTGTAGTGGAAATGCGCCATTAGTGTGGCTTGATATTGAGTAAGAAAAAGGTTTATAACGCTGTGAGAATGGGTCTCCGCGATCCCAACTCGTCTATTACCAGCGTTCAGGGAGCTCTATGCAAGTCAATGGGACTCCCTGTTAGTTAGCCAAGGGATCCTGGTGTGTGAGGTGCTCCGCGGATTGGTCCATTTGGGCCAATCTGGTCATTTGTTGTTGATTTGGGTGTTCACACGTCACAGAACCCAAGAAGTAAACAATGGAAAAAGAGAAATGTCCAGCGAGGCGTTCTGGGGCAGCAGAGACAGGTCTTTTCTGTGTTAGAGTTTTAGTCGCTACAGGGTGAACTTTGAGGGTTTGTGACTCTGCAGACCGTTCACATGCAGAAGCTACAGAACACAAGGGGACGGGTCAGAACCAGAAAAGCATGACATGGGACCTTTAACACAACTGTAAACTTTATCCTCTAAAGGTTTGTTTATACGCTTTGTCAACAAGGGTCTCCACAAGTATAGAAAGACAAACGTGTAAACATTTAAATCCATGGAAAACCTCTTGTCCTCCTGATTACTTACAAAGCCCTCAACAATCAGGCCCCCTCCTCCCTCACAGACCTGCTGCACCACCACACCCCCCCCCCCTCCCTCACAGACCTGCTGCACCACCACACCCCCCCCCCTCCCTCACAGACCTGCTGCACCACCACACCCCCCCCCCCCTCCCTCACAGACCTGCTGCACCACCACACCCCCCCCCCCTACCTCACAGACCTGCTGCACCACCACACCCCCCCCCCCCCTCCCTCACAGACCTGCTGCACCACCCCCCCCCCCCCCTCCCTCACAGACCTGCTGCACCACCACACCCCTTCCCCCTGCCTCACAGACCTGCTGCACCACCACACCCCTCCCTCACAGACCTGCTGCACCACCACACCCCCCCCCCCCTCCCTCACAGACCTGCTGCACCACCACACCCCTTCCCCCTGCCTCCGCTCATCAGAAGCCAACCTCCTATCCATCCCCCCCCGCATCAAGCACCGGACCTGGGGGGACAGAGCCTTCTCCGTCGCGGCCCCCTCCCTCTGGACCTGGATGTTGTTGTTGGCGTCCTGGATGTTGTTGTTGATGTCCTGGATGTTGTTGTTGACGTCCTGGATGTTGTTGTTGACGTCCTGGATGTTGTTGTTGACGTCCTGGATGTTGTTGTTGACGTCCTGGATTATTTCTTCCTCAGAGCACGCTCCCTAACTTCAAGCTGAACGAGTTCTCGGTGGTCCGACAGCACGAGGAGTTCATCTGGCTGCATGACTCCTTCGTGGAGAACGAGGAGTACGCAGGATACATCGTGAGGACACACACACACACACACACACACACACACACACTCAGACTCACACACACTCACACACACACACACACACAGACACAGACACACTCACTCACACAGACAGACACACACACACAGACACACACACTCACACACACAGACACACTCACACACTCACACACTCACACACTCACACACACACACAGAGACACAGAGACACACACACACACACACACACACACAGACACAGACACACGCACACAGACACACAGAGACACACACACAGACACACTCACACACTCACAAACACACACACAGACACAAACACACACACACACAGACACAAACACACACACAGACACACACACACACTCACTTCCCCTCTCCCCTCCCCTCTCCTCCCCTCAGATCCCCCCCGCCCCCCCCCAGGCCAGACTTCGATGCGTCCAGAGAGAAGCTCCAGAAGCTGGGCGAGGGCGAGGGATCCATGACCAAAGAGGAGTTCACCAAGATGAAGCAGGAGCTGGAGGCGTGAGTCACTTATTCAATATATTGGTTTATAGTTTCAGTCTCTCCCAAACTTAGAAGGCGCACGGGACGACTTTCTATTTGTCTTTGTTCTCTGCTCTGAGCTGAGTGTCTCTGAGTGTTGTCCTGCTGTGTTTCAGAGAGTACCTGGCCATCTTTAAGAAGACGGTGGCCATGCATGAAGTGTTCCTCTGTCGAGTGGCGGCGCATCCTGTCCTCCGAAAAGACCTGAACTTCCACGTCTTCCTGGAGTACAACCAGGACGTGAGTCTGTTTGAACTCACCTGCCGACCACGTCAACAATACATACATATATTCATGTTTCTGTAGATCCCCGGCTGCTGCCACGTTTACATAACCAGACAACAGAAGAGAGCACTTTGTTCTGTATCTATGGGCAGTCTTTGTAGTTGTTGTGTGACCCCTCCTCTCTCTCCTGCAGCTGAGTGTCCGGGGGAAGAACAAGAAAGAGAAGCTGGAGGATTTCTTTAAGAACGTTGTGAAGTCAGCGGATGGTGTTCTGGTGGCCGGAGTGAAGGTGAGCTTCAGAGCCTCACCTGAGCGTTAGGCTCCACCCCTTCAGAGACTCACCTGAGTGATAGGCTCCACCCCTTCAGAGACTCACCTGAGTGTTAGGCTCCACCCCTTCAGAGCATCACCTGAGTGATAGGCTGCCCCTTCAGAGCCTCACCTGAGCGTTAGGCTCCGCCCCTTCAGAGCATCACCTGGGTGTTAGGCTCCGCCCCCTCACCTGTCACTCACCTGCGCGTTAGGCCCCGCCCACTCACCTGTCACTCTCTCTCCCTCTCTTCTCTCCCACAGCAGGACGTTGACGACTTCTTCGAGCACGAGAAAACGTTCCTGCTGGAATATCACAACCGAGTGAAGGACGCCTCGGCCAAGTCCGACCGGATGATCCGCTCGCACAAAAGTAACAATCTTTAAATGTTTAAATATAGTTTTTATTCTATGCTCTAGTGAGATGAAGCTTTGTAGCAGCGACAGGTCAGAGCCTTCAGAGCCTCACCTGAGTGTTGGGTGACAGGTCAGAGCCTTCAGAGCCTCACCTGAGTGTTGGGTGACAGGTCAGAGCCTCACCTGAGTGTTGGGTGACAGGTCAGAGCCTTCAGAGCCTCACCTGAGTGTTGGGTGACAGGTCAGAGCCTCACCTGAGTGTTGGTCAAGCCTTCAGAGCCTCACCTGAGTGTTAGGTGACAGGGTCCAGGCCTTCAGAGCCACCTGAGGTGTTAGGTGACAGTCGACCTAGTCCCACCTGAGTGTTAGGTGACAGGTCAGAGCCTTCAGAGCCTCACCTGAGTGTTAGGTGACAGGTCAGAGCCTTCAGAGCCTCACCTGAGTGTTGGGTGACAGGTCAGAGCCTTCAGAGCCTCACCTGAGTGTTGGGTGACAGGTCAGAGCCTTCAGAGCCTCACCTGAGTGTTGGGTGACAGGTCAGAGCCTTCAGAGCCTCACCTGAGTGTTGGGTGACAGGTCAGAGCCTTCAGAGCCTCACACCTGAGTGTTGGCTGACAGGTCAGAGCCTTCAGAGCCTCACCTGAGTGTTGGGTGACAGGTCAGAGCCTCACCTGAGTGTTGGGTGACAGGTCAGAGCCTTCAGAGCCTCACCTGAGTGTTGGGTGACAGGTCAGAGCCTCACCTGAGTGTTGGGTGACAGGTCAGAGCCTTCAGAGCCTCACCTGAGTGTTAGGTGACAGGTCAGAGCCTTCAGAGCCTCACCTGAGTGTTGGGTGACAGGTCAGAGCCTCACCTGAGTGTTAGGTGACAGGTCAGAGCCTTCAGAGCCTCACCTGAGTGTTGGGTGACAGGTCAGAGCCTTCAGAGCCTCACCTGAGTGTTGGGTGACAGGTCAGAGCCTTCAGAGCCTCACCTGAGTGTTGGGTGACAGGTCAGAGCCTTCAGAGCCTCACCTGAGTGTTGGGTGACAGGTCAGAGCCTTCAGAGCCTCACCTGAGTGTTGGGTGACAGGTCAGAGTTAAACACAGGATTCACAAAGATAAGATAGAATTCAAATAAAAAGAATAATACAACAAAAATAAAGTGATAAAGTAACTATTGAAACAAGATATCAAAGTAAGGTTGAGCCCCTGCCCAGGTGCATGCTGGGAGATGTAGTTGTGTATGTCCTAACGTCAGTGTGTGTGTGTCAGACGCTGCAGACGACATCAACAGAATCGCCTCGTCTCTTTACACGTTAGGAACGCAGGACTCCACCGACCTCTGCAAGTACGAACACACACACACACACACACACACACACTCACACACATACACACACACTCACACACATACACACACACATACATACATACACACACATACATACACACACATACACACACACTCACACACATACACACACACATACACCACACACACACACACACACATACACACACACACACACACACACACACACACTCAATCATACTCATTATTATTATTGTTATATATTCATGACATCACTTCCTGTCTGCAGGTTCTTCCTCAAAGTGTCGGAGCTGTTTGAGAAGACCCGGGTGAGTTCAGATCTTTTTATTTAATAAACAGCTGTTTTCTCCTTCAGACGTTAATGTTTCTGTTTCTGCAGAAAATCGAGTCTCGAGTCGCCGCTGATGAAGACCTGAAGCTGGCCGACCTGCTGAAGTATTACCTGAGAGAGTCCCAGGCCGCTAAGGTACTTATATTAATATTATTATTAGCCGCGTTCACACCGGAGTACTTTTCACCGTACTTTTCGCGTTTAGTTCCGTTAGTACCCCTTATGTCGCGTTCACACCAAAAAGAGCACTTAATCTCGGGAACTTTTACCCCCATTTTTAGTGCCTGCTGAGAGATGGTACTTTCCTGGGGGAAAAAAGTGCCCCAGTTCTGATTGGCTGGGCGAATTGCAAACCACGCCCCGTACAACTCTGAAATGTTTTGTAGAGCCGCCATTTTATTATCCTGGCATTATTAGCATTAGCATTAGCCCAGCGCACAAACGCAGAGAGACTAACTTATGGCAACACAAAAGAAAACATGGGAGCGGTGGAGATGAGGAGGTGTCGGCGTTCTGGCGATTTACTCGGAAGGCTTCAGTAGAAGCTGCTGGGACTCCCAGCAGCTTCTACTGAAGCCTTCCCCAACTCAGGGGACTTCCGGCCGGGGACTCCGGGTGGCAGTATACGCCGTGAAGTTGTTTGCTGCCTGCCAGTAAACCCAAAGCAGAAGAAGACGAAGTGACGTCAGCGGCTCATTTGCGTAATCTTCCCTCAGGGAAAAGTACTCCGGTGTGAACGCGATCTGTACTGTAAGTGCCCTGGGGTAATAAGTGCCGGGGCACTGAGTGCCGGCACTGAGTACGGCAAAGTACTTGGTGTGTGTCACTACCCGATCGGTCCACCTGCCCGATCTGTACTGCGCATGTGCGAGATGGTCCGCCATATTGGACAACTACATACGGCAACTCTAATAGGACACTTGACACAGTGGCTTTTGGCAAAGCAGAAAAAGAACTGATAGAGATGAGTTATTGTTATTACAACGTGACTTCACTATTATTTAACAACTCTTTTTATTGGGTTCTTTTATTTGGGGTTAAATACATTGTTAGAATAAGTGAGACATGGATTTAACTTCTGTTAGACAGCTATCATACTGAATAAATATTTACTTTGAATGTATGCAAAAATGTATGGCATATAGCTGTCTAACAGAAGTTAAATCCATGTCTCACTTATTCTAACAATGTATTTAACCCCAAATAAAAGAACCCAATAAAAAGAGTTGTTAAATAATAGTGAAGTCACGTTGTAATAACAATAACTCATCTCTATCAGTTCTTTTTCTGCTTTGCCAAAAGCCACTGTGTCAAGTGTCCTATTAGAGTTGCCGTATGTAGTGGCGGACCATCTCGCACATGCGCAGTACAGATCGGGCAGATCGGGTAGTGACAGTGTGAACGCGGCTATTGTTCACACACACGGTCCGTCTCTGAAAGCTGTCCCACTTCTTGTCTGCCGCTCATTGGTTCCTACTCAATGTGTTGTATATGTTCAGTTAATATTATATAATCTATAATATCATGTTGGTTTAGGACCTGCTGGAGCCTCGGTGTTCCTTAATATTACATATATTATTATGTCCTGTAGGACCTGCTGTACCGCAGGAGTCTCTGGGTGTTTCTCAATGTAGAGTACGCTTGCTTGGTAGCACATGTCTGCCGAGCATCTTGCTTCAGAAGCGAGTCAAGAATACTTCCTGGCATTTGGAAAACGAAGAGTGGAACAGGCTAGCAAGTGTGCAGGTGTGCGTCATATGAGAGGCCCCGCCTTACATCTTCCGCCACAGATTTGGGGAAATTGGTCCGTGCGCAAAGCATTGTGGGGATTTTAAGACCGCGGAGTCTACTCATGTGCAGCCTCGATATTTCTCCAAACGGAGTACGCCGGGCTCGGTAGATTTCCAAGTATGCTGGAGATTGGAACAGTACTTCGGCGGCACTCGATGACGTAGTATGCTTGAAATAGTGGCTCTGAAGCAGCTTTACTCGACATTGAGAAACACCCACAGTGTTCCTTAATATATATTATGTCCTGTAGGACCTGCTGTGCCGCAGGAGTCTCTGTGTTCCTTAATATATATTATATATATATTATGTCCTGTAGGACCTGCTGTGCCGCAGGAGTCTCTGTGTTCCTTAATATATATTATATATATATTATGTCCTGTAGGACCTGCTGTACCGCAGGAGTCGGGCTCTGGTGGATTATGAGAATGCGAACAAAGCTCTGGATAAATCTAGAGCGAAGAACAGAGACGTCCTGCAGGCGGAGACCAGCCAGCAGCTCTGCTGCCACAAGTTTGAGAAGATCTCAGAGTCCGCCAAGCAGGGTACACACACACCTCACACGCACCTCAAACACCTCACACACACCTCACACACTGCACACACACCTCACACACCTCACACCAGTGTTGTAGTCAAGTCACCAATTCACAAGTCCAAGTCACTCTCGAGTCACCACTCTTCGAGTCCGAGTCCAAGTCCGAGTCACCCAAGGAGTGTCCGAGTCGAGGTCGAGTCCGAGTCATCATTACCTGTGTTCGAGTCCGAGTCACCTAAGAAGAGTCCAAGTCGAGTCCGAGTCCCAAGTCTTCATGTATTTATCTTCGTGGATATATGTGTTGAAATGTAGCTGCTCCTCTACATTGCTTTCATCCTGTCATGTTATACTAATCTGTCTATTGAACTGCTGTGAAGCTCGTTTGGCTACAAGTCTTGTTATAGTACTATACAAATATAAAGCTTATTACTAATATTAATATTATTATTATTATTGTAAATGACCTATAATATGTCTAACTATATTTAAAATGAGTTACCTTTTAGAGAAGTGATTATATTTGTAAGCCAATATTTTCCTATGGTAAAGTTTTCGTTTTGCACTTTTATTTTGATAGTAATAAGATCGAGACTCTTATTTTGAAGGAACTTTTACCGGTTAAATCGGTTTACTGATAAAGATTGAGCCCCAGAAAGCACATGGCTACTTAGCATGCAAAATGACATGGCTGAATCTTTATTTATTGATTAGATCACGTTACTCTGATGATAGTGTTCAGTCTATATGTCTGAACTCGATGTTTAGAGTAATGTGTTACGGAGCCTTCTCTTCAATATGTTTCCACATAGAGCATTTTGCGCTGCTCTTTTCCAATGTGGAAGCAGAATGTGTGAAAGCATACAGCACGATGCGGGGTGTGTCTCTAGACATCTTTAGACTGGAATAGCGGGGCCCAGTACGTGAACTCGCCTCGCAGCCGGTGCACACGCCAGGATAGAGGACATCAGACTCCAGAGGAAACTTGCTCGAGTCCGAGTCCAAGTCGGAGGTCAATGTACAAGTCGAGTCCGAGTCATCGTGGGGGGGAACATTCACGAGTCCGAGTCCGAGTCATCGTACGCCAGAATTCACAAGTCTAAGTCGAGTCCCGTCATCGGCACTCAAGTACTCCATCTCTGCCTCTCACACACCGCACACACACACCTCACACACACCTCACACACACCTCACACAAACCTCACACACATCTCACACACATCTCACACACATCACACACATCTCACACACATCTCACACACATCTCACACACACCTCTCACACACACCTCACACACATCTCACACACATCTCACACACACCTCACACACACACCTCACACACACCTCACACACACCTCACACACACACACACACCTCACACACACACCTCACACACACACCTCACACACACACCTAACACACACCTCACTCACACCTCACACACACCTCACACACACCTCACTCTCTGCTGCCACAAATTTGAGAAGATCTCAGTCTGCCAAGCAGGGTACACACACACCTTTATATAAACCTGGGAACACTATACTCACACACCTGATTACATCTCATTATGTGTTGTGTCCTGCCCCCCCCAGTGATATGTGATGGTGTGTTGTTACAGAGCTGATAGACTTTAAGACGAGGCGAGTGTCAGCGTTCAGGAAGAACCTGGTGGAGCTGGCTGAGCTGGAGCTGAAACACGCCAAGGTGAGTCCTCCTCTACCTCCACACACACGTCAACAAGACACACAACAGTTAGCCAAAGCATTTACAGACACAACGTCTGCTTCAAGGTCAGTTATGGGGCTTTCACACCAACGCGGTTCCAGGGCCGGTTCGGAACTACAGCCTGAAAAGCACCGGTTTGTCCTGTTCACACCGCAGCGGAGCCGCCTCTAAGCTCCGAAACCCGGTGCTTTTCAAGCACCAAAAAATGGTGGGTCTAGAAGCAAGAATCGCATACGTCGGGACGAGATCAACCTGAGCTAACAGTTTATGGCGAGTACGGCAAATGAAAGTTGTAACAAGCAGTAGCGCTGAGCAAAGTGACTAGAAGGCAACCACACACTTATACAAAAACACGCTTTATAAAGTCAGGCAACACTAACCAGGCTTCTGTTTATTTGTACCTTACTTTGACCATCCGTTCGCTGTTATTGATCATTGTGGAGAGCAGGCAGACGTTTTGTTTGTTATTATAGCAGCTATCGGATGGAATCAATACATGGGCTGCACAGGTTGTCATGTCCGACTATCACAAGTAGAATCATAATGAAAAATACGCCGGTAAAATGTGCCTGTAGAAAACGGCTTAGCAAGTAGTCAGTTTAGCTTCGGTTGCTATGCTAACATCACCCATGTTATACCAGAGAAACTTTCATAACAGCGTTGTGATGCCAAACAGCGTCAATTCAGACTGACACACATTCACTTAAGGGGAACTGGGGATATGTATCAGCTGCTTGTGTGACAGTCAGACAGTGAATACTTTAGAGCCGTGTGAGCTAACCCGGAGCTAACGGGAGAATACACTCCCGTGGAAGAGCAGCCAGCCAGCACTGCAGCGGTCGGTAAATGCCGCTGAAACACATTAATAAACAATGAACCACGGCACTCTGGAGAAAAGTATAAGGTTGGAGAAGTCGTTATTTAATTTAATCTGGCTTCGTATGATTAAAAGCAACACGATCATCGACCCGACGCAGTCCCCCGTTGTTGTTGTTGTTGTTGTGAACGCTGTTGGGGAGAAAATCAGCGATGTAAACGGTGACGTCGTGACGCAGCAGCGGTAGCACCAGTCGGGCTCTGGGTGGTGGGAACAAAATGGGGGCTGAAAAGAAGAACCGGTTCCGAACCAGAAAAGCTCTAGAGGAGCTACAACGGGAACCAGGTTGGTGTGAAAGAGGCAACAGAATAGCTTTGAGTGTGTTTAGAGTGAGCAGAGGCCTGTACTACGAAGCTGGTTCAACCTAACCTGGATATGTTTGAGTTAGCCGGTTGGCCCAATCCAAAACATATGCGCTCTGGCTAAGCTGTACTACGACGTTGGTTATCAAGTGGATCGCTCAAGCCAGCCGTGTCCTATCTAGTTATGTGCGCGTTCACATGAAAGGGGTGGTATTTGGAGCATTCGACCAATCTCAAACACGGACAAGCGTACTGACAGCGCAGCGTCATACTTCCTGAATGAAAAGTGAACTTTAATATTAGTCAAATATGAAGAAGTTAAACTTTAAACATCCATGACTTAAACACTTTATCCAGGATCAAAGCCACATAGCTGCACCTGCAAGGTGAATACAGCTGGTAAAAGAAAACATTTTTGAATGCGTTCATTAACAGGTTTATGAAATCGCTGCCCCGTCCAAGACACGAGTGGATCTGACTTTAATTACATTTGACTCGAGTGTTTCGTCAACTTAATGTGTTGCTTAAAATAATACTTCTGCATACAGTATGTGACACTGTGAGTGTTGCACGGCCAGATACGGCTCAGCTGACTCAGATAAGGAAATATATGATACATTATGATGTGATATGATATGAATGATAATGGGACTCATCGACGTCTGCACTCACAGTGCCATGGACTGTACTTAATGTTACTCTGATCCGGTTACTTATGTTGTGGCAGATATTTAAGTAAGCTTTCTTAACGCTAATGTTATAATAGTCAGATTGCTCTGAAGATGGGAGGGGATATTCTATTAATGTTCACGTTCACACAGTCAGTTGATTTTTGCCGGCCGTCTTTCCTGCAACGGCAGTTTTTCTGTATTTCCTCTATCCTGTAATATGACTTGATAGCTTTAAACTCCGCACACGGAGCTCTGATTGGTCAGCAGGCGGTGCTTTCACTGAGTTGATCTCTTAGCCTGCAACCTAACCTCCTCCCGAGGAGGTTAGCCGCTCAGCATAAGTTACCATGGAGATCTACCCCGCTAAAAAGAGAACCAGCGTCGTAGGACCGGAAAGCCAGAGTTTTCCCTGAAGTCAGCCGGCTTCGTAGTACAGGCCTCTGCTCTCTGAGTTTCAGCTCAGAGAGCAGCTGGTTCAAAGCCTCAGGAGAAACTGAACCTCTTCCCTAGTTCAGAACAGACTTTTGGTTCAGCTAGAAGAAACAAATCCTCAGAGCGAAGCCCATAAGATCCTGAGAGTTTTCTGTTTATGTAGATCTTTAGATAGGAGGAAGAGCACCAAGAATAGCCGAGTATCAGCAGTAGCGTGGCGTGGGGAAAAATGTAGGGGAAGCCCATTTTTTTGGGTTGGGGGGGTGGTCAATAACGTAACCAGATGAGTGATTACAGCGCCCGGTATCATTTTACACACATTTGTATCACACAGATGCAGGACTTGCACACGCCTGTTATCCACTTGCACTCTCCAGCCGAAACTCTCTCGTCTTATTAATTTAAGCAGACACACCCCCCCCCCCAAATGCAATACCAGCCGCTCAATGCGCAGTGCAGATTCGGTAATGAATAAAAAAAGAAGCATTCATTCACAAAGTAAATCAGGAGACCTTTAAAGTTTTACGTTCACATCAAAGTATCAGTAGGCGTGTATGAAACACATGAATTCAAAAACAATTATGTACAGAAACATTTGCATGCGATAGTCCACCTTCTCTTCCCTTCCCTTTCTAACACACGGCAAGTGCAGCAACAGTCCTCGTCTCTGTAATTAGCTCATTCCGTAGTCCAAAAGTAACTAAAAAATATAAACAATCTCATCTATTCAGGTGATCGGGCCCTATATGGAATAAATAATGCTTCATTTGCTTGATAATTTCAAACGGCGGTGATGACAGTTACAGTAGGCTACTACATAAAACTGATGTTGATGTGATTTGATTGGATGGCAGTGTCCAATCAAATCGCCAGCCGCCTCTGAAGGGAAGCCAGAGGCGGCTGGCTTCCCTTGGCATGGCCCTGACCAATCACAGGTTGGCAGGGGCATCACGTGGGCCTCATCTGATTGGTCAATCCCTCAATTTGTTTTCACCAAGGGAAGCCCGATCCGGCTGGCCTCCTCTCGCAACAGTGAATGCAATCTACTGTTTCACCATAACATCTAGAGGGGCGCTGTTTGTTTCACTCTTTGTAAAATACTCAATGAGAGTGGGGGAGAGACGGGCCGGCAGCAACACACAGCAAAGGAGAATTATCGAAACAAAACAAAGTGTTTTTATTTATTTATTTAAATTATAACTACAATCCGAAAAAACAGGGGAAGCCTGGCTTCCCTTGGCCTCCCGGAGAAAACGCCACTGAGTATCAGGATGACTGGTTTAACGTGTGTGTGTGTGTGTGTGTGTGTGTGTGTGTGTGTGTGTGTGTGTGTGTGTGTGTGTGTGTGTGTGTGTGTGTGTGTGTGTGTGTGTAGGGGAACCTCCAGCTGCTGCAGAGCTGTATGGGTGTCCTGAAGGGAAACACCTAACTCCGCCCCCTCCATCAGGACACACCCCCTCCACAAGCCCCGCCCCCATCAGCTGACTGAGGGCAGGCGACACAGAGGAGCAGAGAGAGAGTACAGGAAGTCTCCCTCTTCCTCAGAGAGAACAGGAAGTCACCCTCCTCTTGCTCTTTGACTATAACGTGTTCATTGGTGTAAATAAAGTCACATGACCTCCCCCGGGAACACCGAGGTAAACAACAACATGATCAGCTGTAACTGTTAGCTCATATTAGCCAGCTACGCTAATCCTGTTAGCAGAAGTTATCACAAGAATCTGTTGTTGTTATTGTTGTTGTGCTAATGTTACCGTCCGTCTGCTAACACCTTGAGCTAACGTTAGCCCACTCATTGTATGGAGTTATCTCCTGATGGTGTTACCTGGCTGTGATTGGTGGAGGTTGTGATCACATGATTAAACAGTTTGTGCTCAGCTTCTCTCTAAAGTGTTCAGAGGAACCTGAAGGTTTTATGTTTTATTATTAAAGTGAACGTCACCGTTCACACACACTAACCTCCTGTTTTAAACAATGTAAATTATAACAAAACTACTTTTGATGTCTCGGGTTCCACTGCTTTCAAAATAAGATGTTTTCCATGGATTTAAAAATGAATTAAATACATGTATTTAAAAAGTGTGTGTGTGTTTTAAAAGAAAAGTCTTTGATTATTCAATTTAAAAAATGAAAAAGTCCCATAACGAGATGATCCAATCACAGAGCTCTGTGATTGGATGAGAGATGATCCAATCACAGAGCTCCAGTGCTTTCATAAAATAGATCACCAACATGTAATACGATGTAATGATGTCCTATTTCCATCTGGAAGGACAGACGTCCTGCACGAGTAGAGAGCACCAGGATCTGACCCCGTTACACAGAAAGGCAATGTCCTTTATACAGATGAGACACAGGAAGGAAGGCAATCCACATTACAGTCCTAAATTGGGTGGGGGGTGGGGGGGGGGAGACAGAAGGGGAAGCGCAGCATGTTAATTACAACCCTAACATCCATGATAAATATGACACCCTTCTGTCTGAGAACATAAAATAGATCACCAACATATTTGTATATAAAGGAGAAATATACAATAAATATATTACACTTCCAATAAATTCAATAATTATTTATATTTTTGCGATTCTTTTCAGAATAAATATAAATACCATTTGAACTCTCATTGCAAACAGTTGATTAGTGGAAAGCTTTAAAAACATGAATTCACATAGTGGCACATTATCTAAGGGATGTGTGCACTGAGGTTATAACCCGTAAAAATGCTCAGACTGTGGTGATTGACATTATTCACCCACGGATCCAGGGCCGGCCCTAGACTTTTGGGGGCCCTAAGCGAGCTTTGGCTTGGGGGCCCCCCTCACTCTAGCGCGTTCTCACTTCACACAACACGGAACCTACTTTTGTCTTATGATGTTAGCATAAGCACACATATTGTATAAATAAGCATGTAAACACCGTGGACCTAACATCCTCTAGGGGGGTCCTCACCTCCTCTAGGGGGGTCCGGGGGCATGCTCCCCCAGGAAGATTTTTTTTTAAATATTGAAGTTGAAAGCATCAATCTGGTGCACTTTGAGAGCAAAATTAAGAGATCTATGGATACATCTCTCAACACCCAAACGCTCGAGTTCAATTTTTTCAACTCGAGTGTCAAATTCACGTGACGTGATCTCGCGGTAGCCAATCAGCGGTTAGGAACTCAGCCTGCCGTCACTGACGTTCAACCAGAAAACATCAGCCGTTAGCTGTCAGCAGTTAGCACACAGAGCTCACAGCTCCTCATATCTGTTCAGAAACTGGACAAAAGTTAAACAAGTACAAACCACAGACTGTCTGTGTCATGGCGAATACAGTCGCTGGTTTATTTCTGTCTGTAGGTCGTTGTTGTGAGAGAGGACGGAGCAGCTACAACGTTAGCTTAGCCTGATCTATCCGATCTCCATTCAGAAAACAAGCATTTTAAAAGGTGTTTCTCCTGCCATCTGTCTGCAGACTTGTCAAAGCATTAATTCATGGTTTTTACTAACCGGTATCAGTATGTTGTTACTTCGGCATCATTTTGAAACGTGTATTACAATTAAATCACGGTCAAATATGTTCATTGTGTTGTAGTTGTAGCCCCCGAGCCAGCGCGTCTTGTTTGAATGATGCGAGTAAACACAGCTGACAGCCGCGGTGAAACTCGAGCGATTAGAGCGAAGCGAATATTCGCATAGCGTCCGGTGTGAACGCAGCATTAGATATAACATCAATGCTATTTTTCATTGCTGTTGCCGGCCGCTATTGCTCACGTAAACCTACTACTGCTGCACCCCCTGTAATCTCAGAGGCACCCCAAGTCATTTTGTTCTGAAACCGGGCCTGTACTGAGCATTAGAGCACAGTGTTATATTTCTTAATGGGGGGGTTTAAGATAAAGATAAGATGAGATAAGATGAGAAGTACTTTATTGATCCCAATCTGGGAAATGTTTGCGTTGCAGCAGCATAAAAAGACATGGCACTGCACATTAGAGAAATTAAAAGACTAGAAATAAACAATCCAAAATGTAAACATCTCAAATAGAAATAGCATTAAAAAAGTAGAAAATGTTCATGTTGTGTGGTGGAAATGCCACACTTAATCACCTTCTGGTAAGAAAAGAAGAAATATACAAGCTTAAACCAAAGTCGTGTTATTTAATAAAGAGTTATAGCATTTAACAGAATCAATCCTATTTCCAGCTGGACAGATGTCCTGCACGAGTAGATAGCACCAGGATCTGACCCCGTTACACAGAAAGGCAATGTCCTTTATACAGATGAGACACAGGAAGGAATTGGGTGGGGGAGACAGAAGGGGAAGCGCAGCATGTTAATTACAACCCTAACATCCATGATAAATATGACACCCTTCTGTCTGAGAACATTTCATAGCCAGGAAACCTACATATATATTGAATCACTGAAAATTCCCATCATATGTTGTTTTACAGGATTTGAGGTGTTATTTTATTTATTTTAATTGGCTGTTGTTGTGGATTGAGAAAGTGAACTGTGGGTATATTCCCTCTGGAGCCGACAGGTGGCGGCAACGCGCCATTAAACTGGATCCTAACCGCCGGGAAACCAGAAGAAGAAGAGAGGATATAGAGATTTATTTTCAAACTCAAGGCTCTTATTGTGGAGGGGCAGCCGGAAGCAGTGCGGAGCGACCGATGAGAAGCTTCGCTGGATCAGAGTCTGAGAGAAAATGAGCTCCATCGGAACCGGGGTGAGTTTACCTTTAACTCTCTCAATGTGTCCCCGTTTTACCCTCTTTACTCTGAGTATACACTCTACTGGGAATATACCCTTTACTGGGAATATCCACTCTTAAACCCGTCCATTATACCATGTAGCATGCGAGCTAGCGTGTTAGCCTGCTGAGTCACAACGAGGCATGCTAACACAAGCTAACAGGAGATAACAAGAGAAATGACAGCATTCACAGTTTTAATATTAATTTCATCTGTACTTTTATAGATAACTTAAAATGAAACATGTCTCTATTGTACTTACATATAATGAGTAACTTTAGGAACGCAAATGAGTCAGCAAATAAATAAATAAGACTCCATGCTAACTGTTAGCTGTTAGCTCGCAACCGAACTCCGTTTAGAAATAAACAGTTTTGAGATGTGTCGCTGAAATTAATCCCTAATTTATATACTTTAACACTTTTTATGTTCTCTTTTAACTGCTTTAATGTAATCGGCCGTCATGATACTCCCTTAAACATACATGAATACACTTTAAATCCACATAATGAGCTAACAGAAGCGAAAACGAAAGCATTCAGTTGTTATACTTAGTTTAGTTTCAGTTTGTAGGTAATACTTTGATTAAAAGACCATGAATCAAACGCATCTCTCTCTGTCTTCATAAAATGAGTAACTTTAGGAATATGAGTAAATAAACAGATGCTAACTGTTAGCTGTTAGCTCACACCCAGACTCCCTTTCTACGTTAGTCGTGTTTTTATATATTATCGTGTTTTATTTATTTTATTCTCTCTGCGTTTTAATCACAGTTTTTAAATGACCCTTTTATAATGCGTGTCTGCTGCTCTATTCCTTCATCTTTTTAATTTAGTGAAACACGTTGCCTTGCCTCGTGTTGAAACGGGACGAGTGGTTTATCCCTGATTTATCTTTCTCTTTTCTGTTCTCAGTGTTTCTGTTCAATCAGCCTTCATATTACTACCTTAAATAGACTTTAACTCACCTTAAATAGACTTTAACTCACCTTAAATCCTCATTACAGCTGGGCAGAGGCCCCCCATTGTACCCTCTGAAACAGATTAAATGCAGATACAGTTTACAGGTAACACTTAATGAAACACACCTCTGTTTCTAAATATACTTTAGAGTAACTTCAGGAATATCAATGAGTCAGCAAATACATAGGCAGACTCCATGCTAACTGTTAGCTGTTGGCTCAAAACCAAACTCCCTTTAGACACACATCAGTTTCAAACTGTGAAGTTTATCCATGATATAAATATGTTATCTTTGAACTGTCTGTTCAATCAGCCTTCATTCTACCTTCAATAGACTTTAATTCACTTTGAATCATTATGAGAGCTGGGCAGACGCACAAGCTTCACTTAGTTAGATCTGACTCAGTTATAGCAGCAGTGTGTTCAGGTGTATCTACCGTAGAGAAGACGTGGCTTTAGTCGTTCTACAGGTCATGTTTTCAGCTGCAAATTAATGAGTTTGTCCCAATTTTTAATTCATATAAAACACTAAGTGGTTTTTAATTGGCTCCATGTCTGGTTTAAGAATCATGTGACCCCGTGGTTAGTTAGTTACAGTAGCTGCCTTTAACCCTCATTAACACACAGGTAACCATGGGAACATGTGTTGGTGAGTTAATAGTGACTCAGGTGAGCAGTCAGGTGTGTTCAGGCTGTATCTGTCCTGTGGGGAGGAGTGTAACTCACCACGGGGTCACATGACCCAGGAGAGCTGTGATTGGCTGTCGGGGAGGAGTGATGAAGATGAGAACGGTTTCGCTAAAACTGCTGATATCCTGTGATGTCACACCTTCTCTTGGCTGTCTGACCAATCCGCTGCCAGCTCACCTCCAGCTCATTTTGGGACGTTAACTCTGTTAGCATTAGCGGTTAGCTCGTTGAAGTCATGTGACCGTGCTGTAGTTCCTTTATAGCCCAACATTATGAATGAATGATTTTGTCCCAATTTTAAATTGATAAATGAATATAAAAGTGGTTTGTAATTGGCTCCTTGTCTGGACTTAAGGTTTTTTCTCCATAAGTTAAACCCCATAAAATGTTATTATATCTCAATCAAACTATTTATTAGGACATTTCAAACAATGCATCTACTAAGCAGCAGATTGACCCCAGACATTTGATGGTGTCACAGAATCAGAAGGGACCCTTCTTATGGATTTACACTTGGTGTTATTTTGCATCTGCACTGTATATATATATTAATATATTAACTGTGTGTGTCCTGCAGTACGATCTGTCCGCCTCCACCTTCTCTCCAGATGGACGGGTGTTTCAGGTGGAGTACGCCATGAAGGCCGTGGAGAACAGCAGGTAAATAACCACGTGGTCACATGACTCAGGGGCGCTGTGATTGGCTGTCGGGGAGGAGTGATGAAGATGAGAACGGTTTCGCTAAAACTGCTGATATCCTGTGATGTCACACCTTCTCTTGGCTGTCTGACCAATCCGCTGCCAGCTCACCTCCAGCTCATTATGGGATGTAACAGAAACATGTTAACTGTCATTAACTGAGGTGTGTGTTTTCAGCACGGCCATCGCTATCCGCTGTAAGGATGGCGTTGTGTTCGGGGTGGAGAAGCTGGTTCTGTCCAAACTGTACGAGCAGGGCTCCAACAAACGCATCTTCAACATCGACAGACACGTCGGCATGGTAACCACACACACATTAACCACCTTTAGCTTAGCGATGGTGAAGTCATGTGATAGCATTACAGTAGCTGCCTTTACTGCTCATAAACACAAGTAACCATGGGAACAGGTGTTAGTGAGTTAATAGTGATTCAGGTGAGCGCTCAGGCTGTATCTGTCCTGTGATTGGCTGTCGGAGAGGAGTGATGAAGATGAGAACGGTTTCGCTAAAACTGCTGATATCCTGTGATGTCACACCTTCTCTTGGCTGTCTGACCAATCCGCTGCCAGCTCATTATGGGATGTTAACTCTGTTAGCATTAGCGGTTAGCTTGTTGAAGTCATGTGACCGTGCTGTAGCTCCTTTATAGCCCAACATTAGCCTCCTTTAGCTTAGCGGTGGTGAAGTCATGTGACCGTGCTGTAGCTCCTTAATAGCCCAACATTAGCCACCTTTAGCTTAGCGGTGGTGAAGTCATGTGACCGTGCTGTAGCTCCTTAATAGCCTCTCTTGAATAACTCTTGTCCTCTCTCTAGGCGGTAGCTGGGCTGCTAGCTGATGCTCGCTCTCTCTCTGAAGTGGCGAGAGAGGAAGCCTCCAGCTTCAGATCGAGCTACGGACACGACATTCCCCTCAAGGTGCGGCTCTTACTCATGTAATCTCTATGGTGCAGCTGATGCTAAGCTAACAGTGTCTCCTCTGGTTGATGCTAAGCTAACAGTGTCTCCTCTGGTTGATGCTAAGCTAACAGTGTCTCCTCTGGTTGATGCTAAGCTAACAGTGTCTCCTCTGGTTGATGCTAAGCTAACAGTGTCTCCTCTGGTTTCAGCACCTGTCGGAGAGAGTGGCCATGTACGTGCACGCCTACACTCTGTACAGCGCTGTGAGGCCGTTCGGCTGCAGGTGAGTTACTGCACTCCGAGTGATGCTTTCAGGGACATCAGCTGATTCACTGAGCATGCTGCGTTCAGGGACATCAGCTGATTCACTGAGTGTGATGCGTTCAGGGACATCAGCTGATTCACTGAGCGTGATGCGTTCAGGGACATCAGCTGATTCACTGAGCGTGATGCGTTCAGGGACATCAGCTGATTCACTGAGCGTGCTGCATTCAGGGACATCAGCTGATTCACTGAGCGTGCTGCATTCAGGGACATCAGCTGATTTACTGAGCGTGATGCGTTCAGGGACATCAGCTGATTCACTGAGCGTGATGCGTTCAGGGACATCAGCTGATTCACTGAGCGTGATGCGTTCAGGGACATCAGCTGATTCACTGAGCGTGCTGCGTTCAGGGACTGCAGGACTATTTAAACCTCAGTCTGCAGGGTGGGATGATTGAGAGTCAGAGGTTTCGCTTTAAAAAGCTGAACTCCTGTGATGTCAATCCTCTTGGCTGTCTGACCACTCTCTCACTCACACACACACTATCAATCTTCACTCACACACACACTTCTTCTCCACCACACACACTCACACACACACACCAGGACACGAACACACCGCACACACGCTGCGCACACGCGCGCATGCACACCACGCGAGGCAGACACACTACGCGCGCAGACACACACGCGCGCAGACACACCACGCGTCGCAGCCACACACGCGCGCGCGCAAACCACACGCGCGCACAACACACACACACGCGCGCGACACCACACACACGCGCGCTGCGCGCGCACTACGCGCGCGCGCGCACAATCGCTGCGCGTCGCACAGCACACGCGCGCGCGCAACATCACTGCGCGCGCGCACACACACACGCGCGGCAGCACACAACGGCGCGCACACACACACGCGCGCGCAAACCACACACGCGCGCGCACACACACACGCCGCGTCAGCACACACACACTCTCTCTCACCCACAACTCCTCTCACACACACACGCTCGCACACACACTCTCACTCTCACACACACACCCTTCTCTCGCTCACACACACACACTCTCTCTCTCTCTCTCACACACACACTCTCTCTCTCTCACTCACACACTCTCTCTCACTCACACACACACACACTCTCTCTCTCACTCACACACACACACTCTCTCTCACACACACACTCTCTCTCTCTCACTCACACTCTCTCTCACTCACACTCTCTCTCTCACTCACACTCTCTCTCTCTCACTCACACTCTCTCTCTCTCTCACACACACACTCTCACACACACACTCTCTCTCACACACTCTCTCTCACACACTCATGACACATGAAATCAGAGCTTCCATGTATTAAAGAAAGATATATCTGTGTGTCTAGCTTCATCCTGGGCTCTTATGATAAAGACGACGGTCCTCAGCTCTACATGGTCGACCCCTCAGGCATCTCTCACGTGAGTTACATCATTATTATGGGATGTATCAGGTGTGCTCAGGCTGTATCTGTCCTGTGATTGGCTGTCGGGGAGGAGTGATGAAGATGAGAACGGTTTCGCTAAAACTGCTGATATCCTGTGATGTCACACCTTCTCTTGGCTGTCTGACCAATCCGCTGCCAGCTCACCTCCAGCTCATTATGGGATGTAACGGAAACACTTTACTGTCATGCTGAATGTAATAAAGCTGTTATTGAACAGTGATGATGATGATGAAGAGCTCTCTCCTCAGGGTTATTGGGGCTGTTAATGAATGGTGGTGATGATGATGAAGAGCTCTCTCTCCTCAGGGTTATTGGGGCTGTTAATGAATGGTGGTGATGATGAAGAGCTCTCTCTCCTCAGGGTTATTGGGGCTGTTAATGAATGGTGGTGATGATGATGAAGAAGAGCTCTCTCCTCAGGGTTATTGGGGATGTTAATGAATGGTGGTGATGATGATGAAGAGCTCTCTCTTCTCAGGGTTATTGGGGCTGTTAATGAATGGTGGTGGTGATGATGATGAAGAGCGCTCTCTCCTCAGGGTTATTGGGGCTGTGCGATCGGGAAGGCTAAACAAGCAGCGAAGACTGAGATCGAGAAACTGCAGGTGAGAGTTAGCATCTGAAGCTAATCAATAACAGATCATTCACCAGGTGCAGAGAGGAAGCTGGGCCTGTCACGTGACTCAGGTGAGCAGACGGGTGTGTTTAGAGAGAATCTGAGGCTGTGATTGGCTGTCGGGGAGGAGTGATGAAGATGAGAACGGTTTCGCTAAAACTGCTGATATCCTGTGATGTCACACCTTCTCTTGGCTGTCTGACCAATCCGCTGCCAGCTCACCTCCAGCTCATTATGGGATGTAACAGACATGTTTCCTGTCATTAACTGAGGTGTGTGTTTCAGATGAAGGACATGACGTGCAGGGAGGTCGTGAAAGAGGTCGCTAAAATGTGAGTAAACATCCAAACTAACCTTTATTGACACGGAACAGCAGACATCAGTACATTTGAAACATCCACTCATACATTGAAACTCAAAACCTTTATTGACACAGAACGGCAGACATCGGTACATTTGAAACATCCAAAACTAACCTTTATTGACACAGAACAGCAGACATCAGTACATTTGAAACATCCAAAACGAACCTTTATTGACACAGAACAGCAGACATCGGTACATTTGAAATAACATAACATTTGGCCAACACTCGTTTTTACTGAATAGAGCCTGAATGCATCATAGTGTAACTGTGTAAACTCAGTTAGCATTAGCTCGTTGTTCACAGATCCAGAACCAGCTTACTCAGGTGAGCGCTCAGGTGTGCTCAGGCTGTATCTGTCCTGTGATTGGCTGTCGGGGAGGAGTGATGAAGATGAGAACGGTTTCGCTAAAACTGCTGATATCCTATGATGTCACACCTTCTCTTGGCTGTCTGACCAATCCGCTGCCAGCTCACCTCCAGCTCATTATGTGATGTAAACTCTGTTAGCATTAGCGGTTAGCTCTCGCACCAGAACCCGTTTAGATTTACACGTTCTCCTGTGTCTCTGCAGAATCTACATCGTGCACGACGAGGTGAAGGACAAGGCCTTCGAGCTGGAGCTCAGCTGGGTGGGAGAGGGTGAGTCCACCAATCACAGCGCTGCGTTTCTTCTTCTGTCCTCTCTCTACCTGTCTTTCATATTTATTAAACAGAATAAATAAACAGTTATACTAAAAAATAAATGTTACAGAAACGATTGGTAGCATTACAGTAGCTGCCTTTAACCCTCATGAACCCAGGTAACCATGGGAACAGGTGTTAGTGAGTTAACAGTGACTCAGGTGTGCTCAGGCTGTATCTGTCCTGTGATTGGCTGTCGGGGAGGAGTGATGAAGATGAGAACGGTTTCGCTAAAACTGCTGATATCCTGTGATGTCACACCTTCTCTTGGCTGTCTGACCAATCCGCTGCCAGCTCACCTCCAGCTCATTATGGGATGTTAACTCTGTTAGCATTAGCGGTTAGCTCGTTGAATTTGAAGTTAACTCTGTCTCTCTCCTCAGTCACAGACGGACGACACCAGCTCGTTCCCAAAGACGTTAGAGAGGAGGCGGAGAAATACGCCAAGGTGACACACACACCTCACAGACACAGCTTACACACACCGTACTGACACACACACCTCACAGACACAGCTTACACACACCGTACAGGCACACACCTCACAGACACACACCTACCTCACAGACACACACCTACCTCACAGACACACACCTACCTCACAGACACACACCTACCTCACAGACACCTACCTCACAGACACCTACCTCACAGACACACACCTCACAGACACACACCTCACAGACACACACCTCACAGACACACACCTCACAGACACACACCTCACAGACACACACCTCACAGACACACACCTCACAGACACACACCTCACAGACACACACCTCACAGACACACACCTCACAGACACACACCTCACACACACCGTACAGGCACACACCTCACACACACCGTACAGGCACACACACCGTACACACACACCTCACAGACACACCGTACACACACACCTCACAGACACACACCTCACAGACAGACACACACACACACCTTACACACAGACATACACACACCTCACAGACATACACCTCACAGACAGACACACACACCTCACAGACAGACACACACACCTCACAGACAGACACACACACCTTACTCACAGACACACACACCTTACAGACACACACACCTCACAGACACACCTTACACACACACACCTCACAGACAGACACACACACACCTAGGACACACACACCTCACAGACAGACACACACACCTAGGACACACACACCTCACAGTCTGCAGGGTGGGATGATGAGAGTCAGAGAGGTTTCGCTTAAAAAGCTGAACTCCTGTGATGTCATATCCTCTTGGCTGTCTGACCACTCTCACACACTCACTCACACTCACTCACACACACTCTCTCACACACACAGACTGACAGTGTTGTTGTGTTGCAGGACTCTCTGGAGGAGGAGGATGACTCCGATGAAGACAACATGTAGACCCTTCTTCACTTTATTTTGTATGTTTTGTAGTTCATGTACTTTCATGTCGTTTCATTTGGTTTGAATTTCCGCTTCCAAAATAAAAAAAAAAGACCAGTTGGAGAAAGTGTGTGTTTGTTCTCGGTCTGATGAACTCATAAACGACTGACAGAGGAAAGTCAATCTTCCACTTTGTGTGTACAGAGAGATCGAGATACCGTTTCCCACAATCCAGAATATAAAAACAAATATCAAACATGTGTACACACAGTCAAAGACACATGTTGACATGTTGACACGTCACTCTTGATACTAGAGTGGATCCGCTGCTTCGTCACCCATCTGAAGAAAGGCTGGTTTTAAGCCTCACTGTTCTCATAAACTGTTTCATATTCCTCACACACTTCATGTATTTATAATATCCTGCTCTATATTTTGTACATTGGTATTTCAACATGTACATTTTCTATTTAATGCTATTTTATTTCTATTTGAGATGTATTAAGAACTGTTCGACTCTTTCATTTCTCATGTGCAATGCCTTGTGTTTTTACGCTGCTGCAACGCATCAATAAAGTGCTTATCGTAAACTAACACACGGATTATTAAGTAGTTGGAACAGTTTAAAGTGTCTCTGAACAGTCTCCATCCCTTAGCTCAGTTTAAAGTGTCTCTGAACAGTCTCCATCCCTTAGCTCAGTGTAGTAAGTGTCTCTGAACAGTCTCCATCCCTTAGCTCAGTGTAGTAAGTGTTTCTGAACAGTCTCCATCCCTTAGCTCAGTGTAGTAAGTGTCTCTGAACAGTCTCCATCCCTTAGCTCAGTGTAGTAAGTGTTTCTGAACAGTCTCCATCCCTTAGCTCAGTTTTAAAGTGTCTCTGAACAGTCTCCATCCCTTAGCTCAGTGTAGTAAGTGTCTCTGAACAGTCTCCATCCCTTAGCTCAGTGTAGTAAGTGTTTCTGAACAGTCTCCATCCCTTAGCTCAGTTTAAAGTGTCTCTGAACAGTCTCCATCCCTTAGCTCAGTGTAGTAAGTGTTTCTGAACAGTCTCCATCCCTTAGCGCAGTGTAGTATGTGTCCCTCACCTGTGGGACACACCTGTCTCCCAGCATGTGTTCATGTTAATAACTTCCACAGAGTAGCATGCCTTATATGGCTCTGACGTCAGCCTCTTCCTGTGACGTCACACGCCGTCCCCTCCGCTTCTCTTTTACAAACACCGACTGAAACTCCCGTTATTTCTCCAGAGTCTGACTAACCCTCAGGAATCGCTTCCGGGTGCTCGTGCTCTGAAACCCGGGTCCAAACATCCCATAATGTGACATCGTCTCGCGCATATAAACCACGTCGCAGAACTAGGTTCAGAAAAGAGTCCATTAAGTGTTTACAGCAGTCATTTTAAAGGAGTTCAAGACACAGTAAAGACAACAGGACGTTTATCAAAGTAAACAACCCGCCTCTTTCTTCCGGCTGAGCTGCCATGAGTGTAAACAAACACAAAGGGAACTTTTGTTTACTAATAAAGCTCCTTCCGGTTGGTTCTACCTGCTAACCGGTTATAAAGTGAGGTTTGATGGAGAATATCTGAAACTTAGTGAGTTAATATAGATATAATTAATTAATATATATCAGATACTTTAAGTACTAACTTAATAAACACAGTTTGTTTACATCCAGTCGATGAACGAGGTTAGTTCAACTCACAGATTTCTGAATGGAGTTTGGTGAGCGGATACTAGCACGTATAGGGGCGGGGCTTCCCATATACACCGGAAGCCAGCTCAGCCAATCGCAGAGCTCCATCTCCAGGCACAAAGCGCACGCGACCAATAGTACTCTCTATTTGCGGGTTTTGCTTTGATCCTCGGCTCTGATTGGCTGCGTCCCCAGCTGACAACGTCATTTCCCTCGTGGCGCCGTGTTCGTATAGACCAATAGCAACGCCAGTACGAGGTATGTCCAATTAAAACGGAGGGATCTGTTAACCAATCAGATTTCCCCGTTCTGACCGCCGCTGTCACCGCAGCCAATCAGGTGTCGGGAAACAGAGCTCCGGGCTCAACAGCTTGTTGTTCGTGAATCTGTTCGCAGAGAGAAGGAAGCGGAGAGAAAACGTGAGTATTAACCTTTAATATTAACCGTTACTTTACACCATTAGCACCATAACCCGGGGGAAATTAACAGTATAACCGGGTAGGAGCTGGATGTTACCGGGAGGAGCTGGTTCTCTCCCCGGTGGAGAGGCTTGTTTTCAGAGAACAGATGAAGAAATTAGTCTTTGTGGAGCTTCTTTTATTAAATAAATAACCCAGAGTCACGCAGTGTGTTCTTAATGTCCGTTAGTTCACCGGGAACAGGAGCTACCGTCTCAAATAGTATCAGATAGTCTGTATAAAGACACTCCGTTCATTCCTATGTAGCTGCTCACATGAAGCACTAAATAGCTCACTATGGAGAGCAAATGTACCCGGATGTGGGCCCACAGAGCATGCGCAGTGGAGTTTCCCTTAAGCCCCGCCTCCCATCTCCCGCTCTCTGTCAGTCAGATGAATGGAGAGACATAATAACTCTGGATTCAGCTTTAAAAGCATTTTACAACTTTTATACGCCAATGATTTAAATAAGGAATATACAAGAGTTCGTTTCGGGTAGTTTATTTAACTCAAATACAAATGTATGCTGATTTACAGACGTCTCTTTCCCAATGTAAGTCAACGGGGAAAAGTATTTTTGGGCCCAGTGACGTCACGGTGGTTGTAGTACCACCGGTTGGCCGCTAGGGACATTCCAAATATGGGCTTCATCTGCGGGCTCTCTTCCTGTTTGTTATCAGACGCTTTAAATGACCGTACGATCCACCAGCTAGCTTCGTTAGCATGTAGCTCCGGAGAGGAACACACGGTCCTTCCATCACAGCCGCTGTAAGGCCTCCAGGATCCGGGAGAGATACTGTGTGAGTACCCAGTCTCTGGAGGGTTCAGGAGGGGTGAGGGGGTGGGAAAGTTAGCATAGAGCTAGCAGACATGGCGGCTCAGAGAGGGAGAGTGAGAGAGAGAGAGAGAGAGAGGGGAGCGGGAAGGAGCTGCTGCCCGGAAAGAGGGTCTGAACTGCGGGGAGAGGGTCTGAACTGCGGGAGAGGGTCTGATCTACGGGGGGAGAGGGTCTGATCTGCGGGGGGAGAGGGTCTGATCTGCGGAGGGAGAGAGAGCCGGGGAGAGAGAGGATCTGATCTGCGGGGGGAGAGAGAGACGGGGAGAGGGTCTGATCTGCGGAGGGAGAGAGAGAGAGGGTCTGATCTGCGGGGGGAGAGAGAGCCGGGGAGAGGGTCTGATCTGCGGGGAGAGAGAGAGAGAGGACCAGGGTTTAGACTCAGTTTGTGCTTCAGATCTGATCTGAGGAGGAGAGCTACACAAGAAGTGAGGGCTAGCTTAGCATCAATCAACAAGCAGGACAGGGTGTCTATCTGTCTGTCTTTCTTTCTGTCTCTCTAACCTCGTGTCCTGTCTGTCTCTCTCTCTGTGTGTCTCTCTCTAACCTTGTGTCCTGTCTGTCTCTCTGTCTCTCTCTAACCTCGTGTCCTGTCTGTCTGTCTCTCTATGTGTGTCTCTCTCTAACCTCGTGTCCTCTCTGTCTTTCAGAGATCACCATCTTCCGAGCTGGACTCCCTCAAATAGCCGGCGAGATGAAGGTGAGTGTGGAGACCTGGTCCTGGTGGTCCCAGTAGAGACCGTCTCTGCTGGTCCTGGTGGTCCCAGTAGAGACCGTCTCTGCCCAGTTTAAACTCAGTCAGTTTACTAAGACTCTCACAGATGGACCTGTGTCAAGTGAACCCTCTCCATGTTGTTGTGACGTCTCTGTCTCCGACACATAAACTGATAAATACTCAAGCTACTGGCAGGATGCTGGAGACAGTACGACCAGTACAGAGACACCAGCAGGACATCTTGAACTGGTTTAGAGACACCTGGTCAAGAGAACAGGTGAACACTGAGACAGTACAGAGGACACCTGATGTTAACCTGTGGATCTGCTTGCTGAGATACAACACATTGCTTGTTAGTTAAAACAGTAAGAGGACGTTATTCAATGACCACAACAAGCTTTCTATCTATACTCAAAACCTCCAGAGACGCATCCAGAGACGCATCCAGAGACACATCCAGAGACACATCTAGAGACACATCCAGAGACACATCTAGAGACACATCCAGAGACACATCCAGAGACACATCCAGAGACACATCCAGAGACACATCCAGAGACGCATCTAGAGACGCATCTAGAGACGCATCCAGAGACGCATCCAGAGACGCATCCAGAGACGCATCCAGAGACACCTCCAGAGACACCTCCAGAGACACCTCCAGAGACACCTCCAGAGACACATCCAGAGACACATCCAGAGACACATCTAGAGACACCTCCAGAGACACCTCCAGAGACACATCTAGAGACACATCTAGAGACACATCCAGAGACACATCCAGAGACACATCCAGAGACACATCCAGAGACACATCCAGAGACACATCCAGAGACACATCCAGAGACACATCTAGAGACACATCCAGAGACACATCTAGACATCAGGACAAGGAATAACACTTATATAAACTGTCCAGCCAATCACAAGCAGTCTTTATATCCTTACATCTGTATCACGTGTTAGATCTCTGTACACAGAGCTCCGTCAGTCCGTCACACGTAGCTCCGTCAGTCCGTCACACGTAGCTCCATCACAGCCGTATACACTGAGAGGAACAGAGACAGATTACTGTGAGAGATGAACTGATCCCCTTCTCAGTTCTTATGCTGCGTTCACACCGGACGCGATGCGAATAATCGCTCCTATCGCATCGCTCTAAACGCTCGAGTTTCACCGCGGCTGCCAGCTGTGTTTACTCTCATCATTCAAACAAGACGCGCTGGCTCGGGGGCTACAACAACATGAACATATTTTACCTTGATTAAATTGTAATACACGTTTCTAAATGATGCCGAAGTAACAACATACTGATACCGGTTAGTAAAAACCATGAATTAATGCTTTGACAAGTCTGCAGACAGACGGCAGGAGAAAAACCTTTTAAACTGCTTGTTTTCTGAATGAAGATCGGGTCGACCAGGCTAATATGCTCATTCCACACTCATAACAACGGCCCTACAGACATAAATAAACCAGGGACTGTATTCTCCATGACACAGACAGTCTGTGGTTTGTACTTGTTTAACTTTTGTCCAGTTTCTGAACAGATATGAGGAGCTGTGAGCTCTGTGTGCTAACTGCTAACAGCTAACGGCTGATGTTTTCTGGTTGAACGTCAGTGACGGCGGCTGAGATCCTCACCGCTGATTGGCTTCCGCGAGAACGCGTCATGTGAATTTGACGCTCGAGTTGAAAAAATGGAACTCTCGCGTTTGACGCGGCACCGTTCAATCGCGTGATTCGCGCCGCGTCCACCGCTTCATGCGCACCGTCGGAGCGAATTCGCGTCTGTCCGCGTCTCTGCATTGACTTTACATGTAATCGCGCCGCCCCCAAACATCGCATCGCGTCCGGTGTGAACGCAGCATTAGACCCTGCTACAGATCTACAGGATTTCACCACAACAACAAGAGAGCAGTCAAAACCATTTAGTCCCCATGATGACATATGACAAAATAATTAATTAATGGAAAAGCATGAACAGAAACCAGGTTCAGTCACACTCTGACGTATTAGAGCGTCACATTTAAAGAGTCCTATTGGTTCCTTAAAGTCTTTATAGTTAAACTGTCTGGAACCAGTCTGTAAGAGGGAGAAACTCATGCTAACGCTAGCAGCTAAAGAGGCTAATCGGAGACAGCTTCAACATCTCCCTCTGTGTGCCGCAGTGCATGCTGGGAGAGTGTGTGTGTGTGTGTTACTGATGTGTGTGTGTGTGTGTGTGTGTTGCAGGCAGCAGAAGAGCCTCCCTACCTGTCCGTGGGGACGGATGTTAGCGCCAAATACAGAGGAGCCTTCTGCGAGGCCAAGATCAAGACCGTGAAGCGCATGGTGAAGGTCAAGGTAAGAACCAGAACCCTCAGAACCAGGTCCAGGATTAGAACCAGGTCCAGTTGCAGAACCTGGTCTAGGTCCAGAACCAGGACCTTTTACTGTCAGTCCATCTGTCTGTCCTCACAGCTGATAGACCAGGACGTGTCTCTATCCTCACAAAGTGTCTCTGTACCTGTTGGGGTTAATGTATTCCCTTCAGAAATTAACCCCCATGTGTCTCTGTGTCCTCTCTCTCTCTGTCCTCTGTGTGTCTCTGTGTCCTCTCTCTGTCCTCTGTGTGTCTCTGTCCTCTGTGTCCTCTCTCTCTCTGTGCTCTGTGTGTCTCTGTGTCCTCTCTCTGTCCTCTGTGTGTCTCTGTGTCCTCTCTCTCTCTGTCCTCTGTGTGTCTCTGTGTCCTCTCTCTGTCCTCTGTGTGTCTCTGTGTCCTCTCTCTCTCTGTGCTCTGTGTGTCTGTGTCCTCTCTCTGTCCTCTGTGTGTCTCTGTCCTCTCTCTCTCTGTCCTCTGTGTCCTCTCTCTCTCTCTGTCCTCTGTGTCCTCTCTCTCTCTCTGTCCTCTGTGTGTCTCTGTCCTCTCTCTCTCTGTCCTCTGTGTCCTCTCTCTCTCTGTCCTCTGTGTGTCTCTGTCCTCTGTGTGTCTCTGTCCTCTGTGTGTCTCTGTGTCCTCTCTCTCTGTCCTCTGTGTGTCTCTGTGTCCTCTCTCTCTGTCCTCTGTGTGTCTCTGTCTCTCTCTCTCTGTCCTCTGTGTCCTCTCTCTCTCTGTCCTCTGTGTGTCTCTGTGTCCTCTCTCTCTGTCCTCTGTGTGTATCTCTGTCCTCTCTCTCTGTCCTCTGTGTCCTCTCTCTCTGTCCTCTCTGTCCTCTGTGTGTCTCCAGGTGAGCCTGAAAGGTGAGAGCACGTCTCAGGTGGTCCAGGACGACCAGGTGAAAGGAGCCCTGAAGGTGAGGACCACTTTAGAGTCTATAGAGTCTCTGTCTTGAATGTCTCTGTCTCTAACTGAGTGCTCTGATGTGCAGGTGGGCTCCACGGTGGAGGTGAAGACTAACGAGGGTCTGAGCAGCGAGGCGGTCATCAGCAAGCTGACAGACGCCAGCCTCTACACCGTGGGTGAGTCTCTGATCAGGGTCTCTCAGCAGGGGGGACCATCAGGGGGTCTCTCAGAAGGGGGGGACCATCAGGGGGTCTATCAGAAGGGGGGGGGGGGGGGGGCGCATCAGGGGGGTCTCTCAGCAGAGGGGACCATCAGGACCATCAGGGGGTCTCTCAGCAGGGGGGGGGGCACAGGGGGTCTCTCAGCAGCGGGGACCAATCAGGGGGTCTCTCAGCAGGGGGGAGGGGGTCTCTCAGCAGGGGGGACCATCAGGGGGTCTCTCAGCAGGGGGGGACCCATCAGGACCATCAGGGGGTCTCTCAGCAGGGAGGGGGCCAGCAGGGGGGACCATCAGGACCATCAGGGGGTCTCTTAGCAGGGGGCACAGTAAAGGAGGACCTGTTGTTGTTGTGTTGACAGGCCGCTCAAACATCTCTTTATCTTTGTGGATTTATAAGTATAATGTTTGGTGCTGTCTTCAGAGAAAATGTAGTTTTTGAAACTCTAATAAAGTGTCTTCAAGCAAAACACATTTAGAGGTCCCCTATCATGCAGAAGTCCCTTCCTGATGTCTTCTCTACGTCACGGTGTGTCCCTGGTGTGTCAGGAGACTCACAAAGAGTCAGGAAATAAACCCCTCTCTCTTTTCCTCCGTACCCACATCTCTAAAAACGGGGGAACAACGGAGCTGATCCAGATTTGCTGCGTCATGACGACATTACTAAAATGGGGGCGGGCTTTACACCCACGGGCCAATCAGAAACGTTGCTGTCAGAAACAATGAGACGTGTTCTGGAAGTAATATGGTCTGTACTATGGTCTGTTTACATTAGCATGCTAACACTCAGAGCTAACCTGTACTGGAGAGAGCATGTGTAAAGAAGCAGGAAATCAAAAGGAACTCACCTTGTGGTAAACCTGAGAGAGAGAAAGAGTTTGAGCTCCATACTGTTTCAGAGAGAATCCTTGATGTGGTTTGGAACATGATATGGAGTTTCAGAGAGAACCCTTGATGTGTGATGAAGAGGGAGAGAACCCTTGATGTGTGATGAAGAAGGAGAGAACCCTTGATGTGTGATGAAGATGAGGGGATCAGATGCTCCTCTCCTCCACTGTAGACCAATAGGAGACCTTTAAAGCAACAAAACATTTAAATACAAAAAATCCACTGTAGAGACGGGACGCTGTAATTGGCTGTTGGTGAAGGATGATAATGAAACACTGTGATTGGCTGATAATGGAGCGCTGTGATTGGCTGTCGGGGAGGAGTGATGAAGATGAGAACGGTTTCGCTAAAACTGCTGATATCATGTGATGTCACAACTTCTCTTGGCTGTCTGACCAATCTGCTGCCAGCTCACCTCCAGCTCATTATGGGATGTTACAGAGACATGTTTACTGTCATTAACTGGTGTGTGTGTGTGGACATGGTGGTCCTCTGCTGATATCATGTGATGTCACAACTTCTCTTGGCTGTCTGACCAATCCGCTGCCAGCTCACCTCCAGCTCATTATGGGATGTTACAGAGACATGTTTACTGTCATTAACGTGTGTGTGTGTGTGTGTCAGTGTTTGATGATGGAGATGAGAAGACTCTTCGTCGTACGTCTCTGTGTCTGAAGGGAGAGAGACACTTTGCAGAGAGCGAGGTAAGGGACTACTTTCTACTCCTGTATCCTTCCACCACACACACACACATAGGGACTACTTTCTACACCTATATCCTTCCACCCCTCTCACTGGTGAAATGTTGTCAGCTGTTATTAAGTAATACAGTTAGTTTGAAAGATGTAACTCTGATATGTACCTCTGATGTGTGTGTAACTCTGGTGTGTGTGTACACCTGATGTGTGTGTGTACCTCTGATGTGTGTGGGTGTAACTATGTGTGTACCTCTGATGTGTATGTGTGTGTGTAACCTGACATGTGTGTAACTATGTGTGTACCTGTGTGTGTGTAACTGTTTGTACCTGTGTGTGTGTGTAACTGTTTGTACCTGTGTGTGTAACTGGGTGTGTACCTGGGTGTGTACCTGTGTGTGTAACTGTAACGGTGTGTACCTGTGTGTGTACGTGTGTGTAACTGTGTGTGTAACTGTGTGTACCTGTGTGTGTAACTGTTTGTACCTGTGTGTGTAACTGTTTGTAACTGTTTGTACCTGTGTGTGTAACTGTGTAACTGTGTGTGTAACTGTTTGTACCTGTGTGTGTAACTGTTTGTGTGTGTGTGTACCTGGGTGTGTACCTGTGTGTAACTGTTTGTACCTGTGTGTGTGTGTGTGTGTGTGTGTGTGTAACTGTTTGTACCTGTGTGTATGTACCTGGGTGTGTACGTGTGTGTGTGTGTGTGTGTAACTGTTTGTACCTGTGTGTGTACCATGTCTCAGACTCTGGACCAGCTGCCTCTCACCAACCCGGAGCACTTCGGCACGCCGGTCATCGGGAAGAAGAAGAACCGCGGGGGGCGGCGCTCCTCCCAGGCTGTGTGAGTTTCAACAAACCTTTATTTAAACCACAGGAACAAATAACAGAGGGTATCAAATAA